AACAGGCTTGCACAGCTTTGCAAATGAATGTGAAAGTGCCAAGCACAGAACCCGTCAGAAAGCACGTATTCAACAAATGGGAGTTTCACTTCTCTCACTCTTTCGAGAGTTGGCCTGCTATCACTTCCTCTACCAGACCACTCTTCCTGGTATTAACACTACTCTCCCCTCCCCTCCCCTCCCCTCCCCTCCCCTCCCCTCCCCGCCCCTCTCTTCTCCTCTCCATGTTGCTTTGGGTTCTGGGGTTTAGAGGTTGTTCTTAGGCAATTCTGGGCATGAAGACAGAAACAGAAAGACCCTAGAAGTGAAAACTACTCAATTACACTCAGCAGCTCTCGTGGCTTGGACTGTCTGGTGCCCACGGCAATTAGGCAGTACGTATTTCCAAGTTATTCCAGCTACCTAGCACTACACCTTTATTAAATGGAGACCAACACAAGCTACAGGTGTTAAAAGACAGAATGGCGTCTGCTACAAACTCTCCCTTTTGTAGTGACCACTGATTTCTTGATTTGCATATTGATATTATTTATAGAACATAAAATGCCATCCTGGAGCTCTGCAGGGAAGAGGGAGAAAGAGAATGAAAGGCTTGAACTTCATCTCTCTGGAACTGGCTCTAGGACAGGGTCCTGAGTAGAAATGGGTTCTGAGAAGCAGGTAGGACTGAGCCTTTCTCTAGCCCAGTGGTTCTCAACCTGTGGGTTGCAAACCCTTTGACAAATCTGTATCTCCAACAATATTTACATTATGATTCATAATGTTAGCAAAATTACAATTATGAAGCAGCAACAAAAACAGTTTTATGGTTGTGGGGTCACCACAACATGAGGAACTGTATTAAAGGGTTGCAATGTTAGAAAGATTGAGAACCACTGCTCTAGCCTAAAAAGCCCTTCCTTGTCTGCAATGGCCTCACATGCAGGCTCCACTGAGCTATCTTTCTAATCTCATTCTTCACTACTCCTCAACTATGGCAGGTCCCCACACCCCACACCGGCACTCAATCCTGATTGCCCTCCCCTTCCCCCACTCTAGTCTGTTTCATCTTCGTGAGACAGCCAGCACCATCACCTGAGGTAATGCCTTTCCTCTGCACTCGCCAGCTAGGCATCTCAACTCCTCACACGGTAGAACGTCTTTTGTCTTGAAAGTTATTTATATGTGTGCCCCGCCACTGCTCTGCCTGGAGTTAAAGTTTTTCTTTAAAAACTGTGACCGTGTTTCGCTCAGTTTTGTATTCCCACTGCCTAGTATGGTGTGCTCCACAAAAATAGACAGCCAGTAAGTATTTGATGGCAAATGTCTGAATGGCTACGTATACTTGCTCTCAGACAACTAAACCAAAAATGGACTCCACAGGCAGACTTCTCCACTGAAATCAGCAGAGACGGATGCTAATGATTAACTTGACCTTCCAACATAAATCAATTTGGATAACTTTGGTCTCAGTTCAGATTATCAATAGAAATAAGGAGAAACGGGTGGTTATAAAACTGAATGAATAAATCTTAAAGCACAGAAAAGCAAGGGAGATCTTTATTTTGTAATTTCTAATCATAACCTAACTTTCTAAAACTAACAAGCTTCTAAACAACATCCTATGCCGTGTCCCCATGGCTCTGCTCACTTAGGACTTACCAACCACAGTGTGGGTGACTGTGATGAACATAATAAAGTCAAAAGATGGCATCAATTTTCTCTCAAAAAATAGATAAAACACATGAAGACAAGAAAAGTAATTCTCTTTCTGCAAGAATTCTTACAAAGACAGGACAACATGATAAATGGCCAAAAGCTCTAAGAGAAGAGGCTGAAGAACTCATTCAGTTTCTAGGGATTTGTAATCAACTCCTCGGGCTCTTTTCCTGTCCAAGCCCACTCTTATTAAGCTCTTTTTTTAGAGAGAGAAGATAAAGCAAGTAAAAGAGTAATGTGAACGCTGAGAAGAAAGAGAGAAAAGGAGATAAAGCAAGCAAGAGAGTAATGTGTGTCCTGAGAAGAAAGAGAGAGAAGGAGATAAAGCAAGTAAAAGAGTAATGTGTGTCCTAAGAAGAAAACTTTCAAATGAGGCAAAAGGTGAGCAGAGCTCCTGCTTCCTCAGTCAAGGGAAGGGGTAAGCATTGACTGTCTCCAGTAAAGACCACTTTACTTCTTCCCTATTTCTGGCCTTCAAATTCAAAACACCCAGAGGCAGAGGACAGGGCAGCTGGAAATGGGGGTGTGGTGTGACTTCTGTGAGCTGTGTTAGTAGTGAAGTCTACATGGGGGCTGACGAAGCTCAGTGTCTTGCTACTGAGACTAAGCACTGGCACTGTGCTTTGTCTTAGCAGACATTAAAGTCTCAGAAACACTGGTTTAGAAGTTGGGCAACTAAAGAAAAGAAAACAGAGTTGAACATAAACAAGGAACTGAAAATAAATAGGGTGAGACTTATGACCTAAGAGAAAAAAGTAGGAGTGATATCTCACCGGGCTAGGAGACGATGTAAAAAATAACTGACAAATCAGACTTTATGGATAAATTTTGTAGCTCAAAATCCAATATCAACAGAGTAGAAAGGCAAACGACCAGATGAGTGAAAATATTTCGCTATATAAGACCAGGCTGACCTTGAACTCAGAGATCTGCTTGTTTCTATCTTCCAAGTGATGGGAATAAAAGCATGCATCATTACACCAAGTTTATAAGTCATATTTTTATAATAAATGAATATCCAGAATACAGAGAACTGAAACCCAACAATAAAATAAATAATCTGATTTTCAAATGTGCAAAGAAACTGAGCAGATAGTTATCCAAATAAGCTATGCAAATGAACAGCAAACATATCAAAAGTTGTTGTTTCTACCCAAACTACAATGAGTGCCATCTAACCATGAGGAGGACTACCATGTTTAAAAGGGAGGGCCCACAAAACAGCAAACATTGGGAATGATGTGAAAAAAAAAAAAAACTTTACTGCTGTTGATGGGTGTGCATTAAAAACAAACCCCAAAATATTACAGAAAGAACGGTCTTAGAAGTCTGCACCCAATATTTCAAGAAGAACTAGATTTTGGACATCTCATGAATTTATCAGAGCAGCCTAGGGCAACCAAATGGACAGGCTTCCTGGCCCTGGCCCCTCCCTTCATCCAGAGCTATTATTGTTCTGTTTTACATTTAAAAGGAAAAACTTACAAGCATCAATTCCCACAGACTCACTGAAGCACTGGGGCAAGGAAAGCAATTTATGCTATGCACAGATCTGGAGAGTCATGGGGCAGAAACCCAAACCCAGGGCTGCTGACTCCTGCTGCAATCCCTCCGCATGATCCTTCTAGATCCAAATTTGCTTTGAAAACTCTTTGTCACGCACTGAGGCCTGCATGAATCAAAAAGGAAATGCAAGCTCCAAAAGAGGAAGAATAGAGCAAAAGTGTCTCTGCAGTGAATTATGAAGAGTAGAAATATTCCTATGAGGAAAGACATGATATTAATAGCTCCATAAATGAACTACTATAAATGTTGGACTTAGCATAGATCTTGAGTAGGTGGATTTGCTAACACTTCACTAATTATAGAAGTGCCGATGCCAGATTTAGAAGTATAAATTGACTTACGAGTTCTCATTGGCCTGGATTACTGAAGAATGTTCCTCTTGTTTCTAAACTAATAGTGGTTTGAGATAGATCAATTAATGAACATTTGCAGCTTTGTGCTTATAAAGAAATTCTGAACAGAAATTGTGACATTTCACGATGCATAGCTGATGATGAAAGTAGCGAAGCATTCTTTCAAGTCCTAATTCTCCAGGGAAGCTATTAACAGCCTAACATTTCTAACTCACACCACAGTGTGCATTCAAGATGCTGGGGAAAAGTTTCTACTAAATAGATACCAAAGAATGCAATTAAGAGAGCAGAAGAGGGCAAGCCCTTAAGCTGGGCTTCTTGACTCTGTTACTTAGCCACATATGGGTGAGGGTACAAGAAAACATGTATAGCAATCCAGACCAGCTTTCAAAAGCTATGTGAAGAAATAAAACTCGTTAAAATGATAACAACAACAAATGAGGACAAAAGGAACTTCCCAAGATCTCAGCAAAACATTTCAGGCTTTCCCCATGGCTAGACACACTGTCACGAGGCAGCGAAGCAAATAAGTAATGAATGCTAAGGAAAATCTCTTATAATAAATGTGTGCTCTAAGAGCAGTACAGCCAATGGAAGGGCATAGCAGGGGTGCTAAAAAGAGGGCAAAGCTGGGTGTTTTAGGAAGTATTCAAGGAGGAGACAATGCGGTGTCCTGAGGGTAGGGAAAAAGAGCGAAGGATGCTGAGGGTAAAGGCACATGGCACAGGCTTAGCACTATGGGAAAGCCGAGGCACTGGATACTGGAAGACCGATAAAAGATGAAGCCAAACCATTAACAATCTAGATGCATTTTAGTTAAGGAGCTTATTCTTTTAAATTTTTTAGGGTGATGTGAAAGGATTGATAACATAGATAGCGCTAAGAGTAGACGACCTGCTGACCCAGAGAGCTCCAGAAGGCTGGAGTGAGGAGGGCACGACTCAACCTGGGGTGGAGAGGAAGCTCTCCAGTGGCCCAGAGCAGTGAAAAGGAGGTCTATGCTGGTTGGTTTTGTCAACAGAAATTAGAGTCACCCAGGAAAGAGGAACCTCACCTGAGCAATTACCTACATCAGACTGGCCTGTGGGAGTGTCTAGCGGGGCATTTTCTTAAAATGTAATTGGTGTGGAGAGATGCAGTCCAAAGTGGTCATTACTATTCCATGGGTAGGTGGTCCTGGAGAGCAAGCCAATAAACAGTGCTCCTCCACAGTCTGTTTCAGGCCCAATTTTCAGATTCTTGCTTTGAGTTTCTGCTTTGGCTTCCCTTGATGATGGACAGTAAAGATGAAGATGAAATAACCTCTTTCCATTCCAAGTTGCTTTATCACAGCAACAAAAGGTAAATTCAAATAAAAGGTAACTTGGTAAAGCACGTCAAATTCCAAGTAAAATGAGGGACATGCCCACCCAGGGGATGGGGCAGAAGAAGCAATAATGGAAGATTGGTTCAATATCAAGGGATGTATAATTAAAATAAGTAAGTAAAAACACATTCATTATAATAACACACTAAGATCATGAGAATCATATTTAGCACTTTCAGAGGAAAAGATAGAATGCGTTCTTGTGCTGAACTGGAATTAGATGCATCAGTATGTACATGGCTATCAATACAGATAGACAAAGAAATAATACAAAAGATCTTAGAATAAGACAAATACAAATTAAATGTAGCTACAGTGACTATATAGTAAAAAAGCATGGTAGATATCACATCAGTCAGCTTTTTATTGCTGAGAAACAACCTGAGACAGTGTACAAGGAAGAAGTTTAGTCTGGTGATGGAATAGGTCATTGGTTAATTATAATAAACCAACTGCTTGGCCTCATAGCTTAGAACATAGGGGGGAGGAGTAGACAGAATAGAATTCTGGGCGGAAGAGGAAGTGAGGTCAGACTCTGCTCTGCTCCCGGAGAGACTCGACAGCTCTGCTCTCTGGAGCAGAGACGCCATGCTCAGCTCTCCTGGGTAGACCCGACAGCTCTGCTCTCTGGAGCAGCGACGCCAGGCTTCGCCCTCCCAGGCAACTCCAACCCAGGATGGACATAGGCTAGAATCTTCCCGGTAAGCGCACCTTGGGGTGCTTACACACATCATTAGAAATGGGCTAGTCCACAATAGATCAGCCCCACTGTCTCTGTGGGTGGGTGCACCCCTCGTGGTCCTGACTTCTTTGCTCATATTTTCCCTCCTTCTGCTCCTCCTTGGGACATTGGGAGCTCAGTCCGGTGTTCCAGTGTGGGTCTCTGTCTCTATCTCCATCCATCGCCAGATGAAGGTTCTATGGTGATATGCAAGATATTCATCAGTATGGCTATAGGATAGGGTCATTTCAGCTTCTCTGTCCTCAGCTGCCCCAGGAACTAACTGGGGACATCGCCCTGGGCACCTGGGAGCCTCTCTAGCACCAAGTCTCTTGCCAACCCTAAGATGGCTCCCTTAATTAAGATATGTGCTTCCCTGCTCCCCTATTGAACCGTCCTTTATCCCAAACATCCCGTTTCCCAAGTTTCCCCCAACCTCCCCTTCTCACTTTTCTCTCCCCATCTCCCCTTACCCCCCTCCCACCCCACTCCCAAGATCCCATTTTTTGCCCAGCAATCTTGTCTACTTTCCATAATCAGGAGGATAGCTATATGTTTTTCTTTGGGATCACCTTCTTATTTAGCTTCTTTAGGAGATCAAATTATAGACTCACTGACCTTTATTTATCTCTAGAAACCAATTATGAGTGAGTACATCCCATGTTCATCTTTTTGGGTCTGGGTTACCTCACTCAGGATAGTGT